CCCCCCCCCCCCCCCCCCCCGAGGACCACCCCCGATTACGGAGCAACCGCTAGCCATCTGCTCACCGGAGATCTGGGATCTGTCATTCTGTCTGCATCCTGCATGTGAGGAATATGTCCACTCGCCAGCGTCGCCCCACTCAAGCCCATGAGAAGGATCTGGGTACCAGCCAGCCTGCTGTGGTGGCAGCTGCGGTGTTAGAACAGCCTTCCCAAGTCATCAGAAAGCTTCTTCACTGGGATGATCTGCCCCATTGGCAGCGCGACAACCAGCACATCCACACGGGCTATCGGCCGGCTTCATTCTCTCTTCTGGTCTCCCTGCAGTCCTTGACCTACCTTCACAATGAAACGGTCAACATCTACACGCATCTGCTGCCGTCCCTACTGGCCGTTCCAGCGGCTGGGCTTCTCTATCGGGCACTAGCTCCGCGATATGAGAATGCCACCCAGGCGGATCTGATTGCTTTTGGATGCTTCTTCGCGGGGGCGGCCTTCTGTTTGGGCATGTCTGCAACATATCATACCATTTCGAACCATTCCCCCCTCGTGGCCCGCATCGGAAACACGTTTGACTATGTTGGTATCGTAGGGCTTATCGTGGGCAGCTTCGTGCCTAGCGTGTACTTTGGATTCTACTGTATGCCTGATCTGCAACGGTTGTATTGGACGATGATCTGCGCCCTCGGTCTTGGCTGCATCCTTGTTTCGATCTTCCCTCATTTCCGGACGCCTCGGTGGCGGCCATTCCGTGCGGCCATGTTTGTCGGCATGGGTCTGTCAGCGGTGTTCCCCGTGATCCACGGCTTACGCTTGTACGGTCTGGAGCAGATGACACGCCAAATCGGGCTCGGTTGGCTACTTCTCCAAGGTTTTCTGTACATTTTGGGAGCAACCATCTATGCGGCCCGGGTGCCGGAGCGCTTGCGACCAGGCCACTTCGATCTCTGGGGCAGCTCCCACCAGATCTTTCATGTGCTGGTGGTCTGCGCCGCCATTGCTCATCTGACCGGGTTGCTAAAGGCATTTGATTACAGACACAGCGGCATTGCAGACAGTTGTCTTGGGGCCGCGCAGTGATTCGCCCGCTGAACCTTGGGACATCGCACAGGCAGGACGTCCTGTGGAGGGGGGAGAAGGGGGGAGGGGGCGCGCGGCGCCCCCTAAACATCACCACCTGTAGCCATAACTTAATCGCCTCAAGAAGTAATAGAGATGACATGATGATGATGCTGACGTCTTCACGGCTGATACGAGACATGTCTAACCTTGAATTTCACATGCTGACCATTGCAACATGGCAAAGCCAGAGATGAGAGAAGCATTGCAGAAACCTTCTTTCCCCCAAGAAGGCAATAAGAAAAGGGAAAGAGGAACAAAAAAATACGCAAACGAGGGGAAGTCCAGGATACAATCATAAGAATAGACCTTGGGTCTTGCGACAGCATGAACGTTCACCGCTTGCCTGGGCATTTCAAACCGGGCAGGCGAATAGGGATGCGTTCCCGCATCGATTTACAGCTCACATGGTGTGCTGGCCTGCATACCGATAGAATCACCCTAGACGGCATGCTGCGGTTCCTCATTGGATGCTACGTCAGACACAATAGTCTTGCATCGTCGTGGCTCCTTCGAGCACATTAGAGTTATTCGGCCTAGTGGCCCCCACTGAATTGACGACGATGTTGCACCTGAGCTTATTCTTCCAGGCTTCTTACGTTGGAGGACCGTCCCCCGCGGCACTGGCTGATGTAGGCAGCCCCTATCAGAGGCAGTTGGGCCGGTAGCCAAGCAATCTGGCATTTGCCATTTCTGACAAGTAAGATGGAGGTCAGTTGGACTATTGCTGAAGAATCTGCCAGTTGGAGGACTGGACACGGCTCCCATGCGAGGTGGATCAGATGAAATCTTAGGGTTTCACAACGGCTGACTTCATCTGCGCTTGCCGTCGGTTCATGAATCCCGATACGAGCCCTGCATGCCAGGGCGGCTGGTATATATAAGATTGCGCTGGTTGATGCGCTGATGAAGAGTGGTTTGATCTTTCTCTTTTCCTTGGTATTCCCATTAATATCGCCACACCCGTTTGCTTGAGGCTCCCCTTTTGGTCGACCTCACCTCGTTATCCTCTGATATCACGACGACCCTGCTTTACATTCTGTACCTACAATATAAATGCTGGCCGAATCCGATACCCCCGTCAGCAACGGGGATCCGCCGAAGCTCCGGGCTGCCTGTGAGAACTGCCGACAGTCCAAGGTGAAATGTAACCTATCTGGGAAAGACACCTGCATTCGCTGTATGCGTCATGGGTTGCCCTGTCGATACCGCGTCGCCAATCGTTCTGGGAAGCCAAAAGGGAGCAAGAACCGTGCCACGCTGCGGAAACTTGGGCAGTTGCAAGACGAGAAGAAGCCTACAATACCTGCCAACGGATGGGCCGAATCAGTAGCCAAAGGACAACCGCCTCGTATCAGCTATGATGACAATGGTGTCGACGCAACGGTTCGTTCATCTTGTGCTCGTTAATAAACAACATTCTAACGGTTATAGAGTACACAAAGCACCAGCCCAGCCAGTCAGTCCAGAAGCCCCGATAGCCACGGGGCGAATTTGGCTGACACGACGTTGCTGACCGACCAGACCATGGAGTATCCATCAATAGGGGAGACGCTGGCCCCAATGTTCAATCCCTCCATGTCGCCGCCATTCCTCCCGAAGGAGTTCATCTCCCGGGGCTTCGCCGGCTGTCCGCTCGCCGTCCACATCCCCAACCCACTACAGCCCTGTGAATGCACCAACGTACTCTTATACAACGTAAACCAGATCCGGACCATACTGGCAGAGAGCATGCGTCTACGACTGGACCAGATCCTACAGGGCATCAACATCGCATTGACCGCGTGTCGGAACTTTCTCCGATGCCCCAATTGTCACAAAGACCACACAAACCTACTGTATTCAGTATCTATACTGGATACTACACTCCAGCTCTTCGAATATTGGACCTCGTATGAGCTCTCATCCGCGCCTGCTGACAACCACAACATGATCCTTCCCTATGGCGAGTACGAGATGGGCCCGGACGAGACGCGCCGGATCCGCCGGTACCTCATCCGAGGTCGAGCCCTGCAGTGCCGGGAGGTACTGGGGCTACTCAAGGACGCAGTCGAAATAAGCCGACATCTGAGTCCCGAGCTCCGAGAGCTCAATGGGACGGACGGACTGGAGGTGGAATGGTTCCAGCAGATGCTGGGGGGGTATGATACGATGGTGGAGACGATTTTACGAGCGATGTCGGATAATCTGTGCACGTAGATTAAGCTTGAATCCTTCAATTACTTATACATTGTTATGTAGTATGCGATCATTCGTAGGGTGATTGTATTCCCTTCTAAACATAGTAAGTAGTAAGTAAGTAGTCCAGGAACCAACCGAGCGGCATTCGGCAGACAAACTGAGCCTCGGCATATCCAACTCCGCATTTGTAGATCCTCTTATATCCATCCCCACCGCACCTCCAACTACCTACTTCCACTCAACTACACCACACCCACCCAAGCGTAGCTCAGCCCAACCAGAAATAAAAAAAATGAACCGCCTCACCCAAATAACCTCGCACCTCAACTACCCCCACGGCCTACTAGCCAACCAAGTGGCCATCATCACCGGCGCCGGCCAAGGCATCGGGGCCGAAACCGCCCGGTTGTTCGCCAACGAGGGAGCGAAGGTGATTATAGCTGATATAGATGGAGGTATGCCGTCTATACCTGTTGCAAAATCTGCCATTGACCGAAAAAGAAAAGTGAAATAGGGATATGCTGATGGGTAGAATAGAAAAAGCTTCCGCCGTCGCAACCTCCATCAACGCATCCCTTAGTGAAACTAAGGCATTAGCTGTCCCCGGCGACATCCTCAACGACACGTACATCGAAGAACTCGTCACCAAGGCCGCAGACTTTGGGGGTGGGAAAATACACATTATTGTGAATAATGCGGGGTTTACCTGGGATGGGGTTATACATAAGGTAATTCCAATTTCCCTCTTAGTAGTATATATGTATATACTATACTAACGAATTATTAAATGGTGGGTATAGATGACAGACACCCAATTCACAACGATGCTCAACATCCACGCCACAGCCCCATTCAAACTGATCCGCGCAGCAGCAAAATACTTCCGGGTGAAGGATGGGGAATCGCGCGTGGTGATTAATATTAGTAGTACGAGTGGGGTGCATGGGAATGCGTACGTTACTACCCCCTCCTCTACTCTACACGCAATCTAATTAACACTGTGTAATACGGTAGCGGCCAAGCCAACTACGCCGTCGCCAAAGCAGGCATAACGGGGCTGACGAAGACCATCGCGAAAGAATGGGGACCTGCGTTCGGAGTCCGGGCGAATACCATTGCATTTGGGTTCGTAAAGACCCGGTTGACTGCGGCGAAGGAGGAGGGGGCGTTTATTGCCATGGCGGATGGAACGAAGGTCGCGTTGGGGATTCCGGGGAAGCAGTTGGATAGTAGACGTACCGGAACTACTACTAGTAGTAGTTCTGATGAGGAGAAGAAGAAGAAGAAGAAGGGAGGTAGTGATTATCCTGATATTCCGCTGGGACGGCCGGCGAGTCCGGAGGAGGCGGCGAGGGCGGTGTTGGGGGTGGCGAGTCCGTTGTTTTCGTATGTGAGTGGGGAGACGATTAGGGTTACTGGGGGGAGGAATATGTGATTTTTCTATTCCATCTGTTTTATTCATTTAGTGGTATATTGATTTATGGATCTATTGATTGGTTGGTCTATAAATGAGTGGATGGTTATAGGAAGTATGTGTGTAGGTAGTAGTGTAATGCGATATCAGAAGTCGCATTCATATAACTTCAGTTGTGGTTTGGTAGATGGTATCTATCATACATGGTATCACAATGGTACAAAGCCAATTGATTTCTTTTCGTTTGATCGTAAATCATCACTGGTCCGAAATGTAAGGCTGCGAGAGAATCCGACCAGGCCCAGCCAGGTCACACTCATAAACCATGTATACTGCATATTGACAATGACTGGTTGAAACAGGCCTGCTCACCCCCCTGGTGGCTGCCTCCCCGTCGGACAGCTGGCCCCTCTCTTCAGGGGTAGACGAGAGGGTCCAGACCAGACTCCAGAGTCATTTTTTTCTCGTAGGCGCCGGCTGATGGTTGCATCAGCAGCATTGGCTGGTTGTGCTAAACTGCTACAGCATAGCAGGGAACAGACGGCGACTCGCCAGTGGACCACAGCTTCACGTCGTGGGTCTCACTGGAAGAGCGTGTCATCAGGCCCGAGTCAGTGTACCAGCAGAAGGGGAGATAGATAAAGAAAAAGCATCGTCTAGTCCTCGTCTATTGCAGATATCGTATCCAAGGATGTTCCACCCTGGTTCACGCTGTTGCACCGAAAACACATTCCAGCCTCTCACCACAGCCAGCCAGTCAGACTGAATATCAGCCTGGCGGCTTCCCCCTAATAGGGAGACGGTCCGAAATCAAAACTATTTATCGACAGATTATGTAAAATGAAGTAGTAGTAGTAGAGTAGTAGGAAAACGAAGAAGAAGAGTAGTCCTCAACGACTCAAGGTATCATCCCAAAAGAGCGACCAAGTGTGCCATCCAACTCCTAGCGGTAAAATTCGACAATCAGAATGCAAATGCTTCATCTCTGCTCCGGGGTATTTTTCTTTTCTTCTTTCCATGACAATGGCCGATGGTGAAAACGCCAGCAACACCACCCAGTAACACCAAACACAAGTATATCACCAGAAACGCAAGAGATCCTCCCAATGTGGTGACAAATTAATAATAACATAGCCACGGTTTCTGCCTTCCAACGGACTCGCAGGGCGAGCTGACAGAACTCCGCTTCCTCAAAAGGGCAATTTATGCCCGACGGCTGAGCTCCAGTGGATGTCGATCCGGGTATAATATCCAAACTCCAAGGAATGGAAGCCAACGGTGTAAAGAGTGGGAAATAGAAAAGGCGTATGTCCAGAAAGGAAATCGATCTCCTCGGATTCCCTCCGGCGGAAATAATACAATGTCGCTGGAATAATGCAAGGCGGAGATGATCCAAGAATAGGTGTAGTAAAGATCCAAATCCAGTGGGATGTAATATCGAAAGAATTGCCGTAAATCGTAAACCTGCGTTAAGTGGGCCTTTTTTCGTTTTTTATTTTTATTTCTTTTCTTGCTTTCCCTTGTAGGGTGGACGGTGAGGTCCAGTTTAGCAAACGGGAATTGGAATGGTAAAAGGGGCATGGGCAAGATGCGGCTCCGGGATACCACCGCAAGAGACAGGGTCCATAAAGTCATCTTTGCATTCCAGTCCCGGCTCCAGGCCCACGGAAGACATCGACGAGACACTGTCAAGGTCGGGGTAGCCTTCTGTGAAGGATGAAGCATCCGAGACGGCAGACTCCGAAAAGTCGGAGTACTGCGATGACCCAGAGGAGACAGAGGAGGTTTGGGTGTTGAAGGCGTCCACGGGAACGGACACCGGAACCGGACCGTTGACGTAGTCAACCGGCACCGGTCCGCTGGCAGACCAGGGGGCGATGGGGTTCATGGTAAACCGCGGGCACTCCAGGATCAACTGGCGAAGCTCCGGGATGGTAATCCTCTTGGAGGGGTCGCACTCAAAGATGCGGTTCAGGATGCAGATCATCTCATCCGACAGTGGCAGGATGGATTTCAGGAAGTAAGGATCCTTGAGATAAGCTCGGAACGTGGAGTCGTCGATCGAGGCACGTTTCCAGGGGTTGCGACCGCAGGTCAAGTTGACGAGGATAACACCTAGACTCCACACATCATTGGGTGCCGACTCATAGCACGACATGGGACGGGGGTTTGGTTGCTGGCATTCTTTGGTATCATCTTCGTCAGTGAATGTTTCATCGGAATGTTTCGGGTGGGGGGGAAAGGGAAGGGCATTCACGCACCTGGTGACATGTAGAAAGTGGATCCGCAACCAAAATCCGACGTCAGGTAGTCCGTAGTAGCCAGGCCAAAGTCAGCAAGCTTGACCGTCAAGCCCTGGTCCGTTACCAAGATGTTTTCCGGCTTGAGGTCCCGATGGTAGATTCCCAGGGAGTGGCAGAACTGGACGGCATCCAGGATTTGAAGGAAGACACGCTTGACCAAGGGGTCATTGCCCACGAAGTTTCCCTTTTCAGTAATACTGGAGAAGAGATCGCCCTCGGGACAGAACTCAATCACCACGTAGGTGCAATCGACGGAATCCATAATGCGAACCAGGGAAACCACATTGGGATGTTGGCTGGCCAGATGGTGGAGCTTGATTTCCCGCTGCTGGAACTTGAGCTGCCGGGGATCCAGCCCGGTCTTGTTGAGGGCCTTGACAGCATACAGAACATTGGTATGTATGTCGACGGCCGTGTACACCACTCCATAGGCACCGACGCCCAGGATGCTGGTGAGTTCCAGACGGTTGGCCAAGAGAAATCCTAGACGGTCTTCCGGAGCATAGCAACGGGAGATGGGCGGAGAAGGAGGCGGAGTGGGGGGCATGGGATACATGCCGTACAGGGGAGAAGGGGGTAGCATGAGCATGAGGGAAGGTAGGTTTGGGGATGGGCTTTTTCTTGCTTTGGTGGATTGGTGACAGGCAAGTAAGACTCGAAGCACGCACCGGCACTTGAGTCTTTCCCTGAAGAAGAGTATAGTATTCAAAGGGAGGGGGAAAGGAGAGGGAAGGAGGGGGAGGTAAATGGTAGTTTCTTGTCTCAACGGCTGTAAGGGGTGGTTTGTTGATATAAATCCTGGGGGTCCAAAATCCGGTGGCGGGTTTCAGGTAGTCATCCAAACCAGTGAGCAAAGTACGGGATAGCCGGGAGTGAGAGAGAAGAGCACCAAAGGAGAGTCGCCAGTCTTTCCTTAATAGATTTTTTTTTTTTTTCACTTGTTCAAGGAGCCATTGAAGGAATGCAGTTGATCAACTTGGATAAGCATTCAAATCCTAGGGAATGTCCAACGGAAGGCCGTGGGTAGGATGGTGGTTGTAGTAGTTGTGGTGGTTGAAGATGAGTAGTGGCGGGAGTGGCAGTGGCAGTTGGTGGTGGTATTATTTTTGGCTTATTGGGGGAGAGGGGGGCAAGTAGTCCAGGGAAGTTGCACAGCCAGGGATGGATGCAGTTCCAGGGAAGCAGTCAGATGGGGGCCAGCGGATAGTTAATATGGCCGTGGGGGGGGAGAGGGAAAGGGAAGGGAAGGGGGGTGGAGGGTATAAAAGGGGGACGTGCAGTGAAGGATAAGGGGGGGCAAATGATATATATGCAAAACAAGTCCCAGAAACTATATCACGAAGAAGAGGAAGAGAAGCCGAAGAAAGAAGAAAAGCAACAAAATGCAAGACGAAGATCAATGACTTGACGGGAACTTGTCGGAAAGAGGAAAAACGATTAAACACGCCAGAGAGGACGAGGACGGAATAGGAAGAGACAGGAGAGGGTGGAAGTATAGGGATTAAGACGGAGCGCGGAAGGCCAGGTAAAAATAAGTAAAAATAAGATTAATATGGCGATGATGGACGGGGCGGCGATAAGAGAGAAAGAGACTCTCAGTCCAGAGAGTCAGAATGAGGGAGCCAGCCAGATCCATCCATTCTCAGCAGGAAATGGCGAAAAATAGGGACCCAGAAAATCCCCAGGGACCCAGAAAAAAAAACAACACCACCACCACCAGAAGAAATTAAAATAAGTCGCAAAGTAAAATAATAATAATATTATTATTCCCTTTACAGAAAATCAGAAAATAATAACACCTAATAATTAAATTCGATGAAATAATAATTATCCTCCCTAATAAATCTCATAATAGTAACACCTAATCATCATCATCATCAGCAGCATCATCACCCATCCCATAACACGAATAATAATCCTTCCTCCCCAACTGCCACTAAGCCTGGGACCAGTCGTGGCCAGAGCCACTCACTCACTCCATTCTCATCTCCATGAGCAAGAACTGAACTGGAACTTACTGAAAGTCTCCATTACCTCAGAGGCTGCAGCCCACGAATCATCATCTCGAAAAAGCTGGCCGACCATTCAGAACTCACTACACCCAGGTGACCGACCGACCGACCGACCACCCCTTCTCTCCTACACCATCCGCCATCCACCATCCATCCATCCATGCCCCCTAAAACCCACTATGTAACTCCCCCGTTACATCTTCAGCCTGCAGACCAGAAACCCAACCCTCGCCACCGGATTGGTCGGGGGCATGCGTCCAGCTGGGTGGAGTTGACCAACTCCACCCAACCAACCCAAGCTAACATGTATGATGCTTAGACTAGTTTAGGGTCCAGCTACAAATAGGAAAGGTGTATGTGAGTGTGTGTGGATGAGCAAAGACGGAACCAAACCAAACTGCCTTTCCCTCTTCCCCCACTAGAGACACTGACCGACAAGGCCGCGACCGCGAGATCCAGGCGGCGAGAAACGAAACCAAGAATAACTAACACGCACCCGCGGCGTAAGCTGAGGAGAGGAGGCCTGGGAGGATCCATGAATCGACATCATTAGTATCCACTGGGTCCTGACTAACCAGCTTTGTTTCTTGCCATAACCAAAGTAGTAGATTAGATACCACGTGATTGCTGGATTCTCTCCACTGGCACACACTTTTGACTGACTGAGTTGACAGACTATCTCTGGCTAAGGGGGGATTGTCCACGATCTGGCAAGGCGAAAAAAGAGACACCTCCCCTTACTAGTCGGGTGGATCTGTTGACTAGATACTGTGCTATGGAGGGGGGTGGTGGAAAGGGAAAGGAGGGCCATATGGGCACGAGTGCGTGGAGGGAAACCGAAACTCTGGCAGCACCGCACACCCCCTTTCAGTTTAGTTAGTTAGGAGGGTCACAAGGCTCTAAGCTTGGATGCCTGGACCTGACCCTACAGTATACATTGGGTGTAGTATAGTAGTAGTGGCCTGAAATCTATCCACTCATCCATCCATCCCTACAGTACAGCCTACATAATAATAATAATAGACAATAATCCTCAAATGGAGTGAGACTCAATGAATGGGAAGAGCTCCGCGCAGACCCGATGAGCAGACGGCCAATGCCGCCGCCGTCGTGGCTGTACGGGTTTAGTGTCCGGTCCCCGACCAGGCAAAAAGCAAAAAACAAAAAAGAAAGGTCTATCCCCAAAGATCGACGATCAGAGAGAAAGTTGGAATGGAAACCTGAGAAGGCAACGCAGAACAGACCGCAACTGGAAGGGCGATGATTTGCTGCCTCCAGCACACAATGCTAGGTAATGTTTGTTCCAGGAGGCGGTGTGAGTGTAGGAGGGCGAGTTGTGACAGGTCATTCGGGTGCAGATTGGCTCCACTCACACTTTTTCAATGCCAATGCTGTTCCAGGCTGGCCCGAGCACATCCCCTCGTCATTGGCTGAATGCGGTAACGCCCAGGGAAGATAAATCCGCCTCCCCGTGGGTGTGATTGGTTTGAAGAATGGAGTTCAGTCAGATGAACTGGGATGGAAATGCTGGAAGGATTGCCTGCTATGGAGAGGAGGGCGGCATTATTACTAGGTCCAGCCTCTTTTGGGGAGGAAGGTTGTGGTGGTGGTGGTGGTGGTGGTGGTGGTGGAAGGGGGAAGAACGCACAAATGAGCTCATGGCCACACACATACACACGCGCCCGCCTATATTCCACTGGGTCCGTTGGTTGATTGTATCAGCGCCCGGATGCCCCGTCGTTGCCATTGCCTGGGCGGCTGTGTGGTAGGAATGAGGCTGGCAAGATGGATGACTGGCTGAAAGGGACCCGGATGGGGAAGGGGGAGGAGGAGGTTCCTTTGCCCCACATTTACTATACTGTCCGTGTCTGAAGTTCTAAACTCTCAGACTTGAGATGCAGGGCGGGAAGATGGAAAATTAGTTGAAACTTCCCAGGGCGGTTATTATTATTATTATGATTATGATTTTGGTTGACAGGGCACGATCCATCTCGCCCATCTCCATCTCTATCTATCTACTATCGATTTACTCCGTAACTTGCTTCACAACGGTTTACGCGCTGGATCGTCAGTGTGGTGAAACGTTGAAATCACCTCCCCCGATCAACAGTGGTTCTTGCAATCTCACCGGGCGTTCGGACGGTAAAAGCCAGTAGACTCTACGGAGTAGATACTTTCTGTGTAGATAGGTTGGCTGTATAGGCTGTTCTCTGTACTGCCAGCTCATGACTCCACCAGCAACATCTCTCCTCACCTACAGTTGGTTACTGGGAGATGAGTGATGCTGGGACAAAGTTTTGAGCAAAAGAGGTCAACGATTGTTAATCTGACCATGGAGTTCTAGGCTTATGGACCACAGGCGGGTACAACAGTATGACTAAACGAGGAGGGGGGCAACGAAGGGGAGGATTGCAGGACGAAACGAATTGGATGTTCTATACGAAACGGTCGAGCCAAACGGAGATGGCTGGATGGGGCACCATCCAACTTCCCGCTGCGTGTTGTGAATGACGGGCAGCCTGACTGAACTGACTTGACATGATTTGACTCCATAGTCAGTACGGAGTAGTAGTCTAGTCTACTGTTCAGTAGTCTAGTTACTAACTCATCGCCTTGCCAGACAACAACGGTGCGACAGTTGCCAGATTCTGCTTTTTCTCCGGCCACCAACTTCTTTCTTTCCACCCAAAAAGAAGAACATCTGGTTTAGATCTCACCGTCTTTTTGAAGCATCGTCAACCCGTTGGCTAGCAGCGAGGACATTCATCCAACACATGAGCGAACTATTGCCAGAACTAAAGTGTAAAGTTCAGCAAGCAGACGCCTTCTGAATCAACCCGACCCCCTCCGAACTATACTACTTCCTGTACTGACCAGCAAGCAGGCAAAGCAAGCAAGCAAGATGGGGATGTGTTAATGCCAATCCATGCTAAACTAAACTTCCTAGTTAGTAGGTCAAAGTTGCAACCGAACTCAAATAAAGTGAGGCAATGACGCCGGGGCCAATGACAGCCCAGTTCGTCCGCTTCGAGAATTCCCGAATGACAGCCATGGCGCTTGATGATTGGCTGCTTTGCTGCCACGTTTGCTGTCCGAAGCCTTGGCGGTGGGGATCTCTCGGGCAGCAGTCTCCAATGATAATTGGCTCAATTTGTCCATGCTTTCTTTTTTGCCCGCATCATGGATCCATTCATTTCGAACTATTCTTGATCTGGTAGGTCCTGCACAGACCATGAGCAATAAAAAGAATTAGCCCGGTTTGCGGTTTGCCTGGGGCGTTGTTGTTGTTGCTTCATTCTTTGGTTTGGTAGGCTGCCTGCCTGCTAGTATACAATCTCTTAGTATTATACTAATGATACTACTGTGATTGCAAGGCTTGCAGGGTCATGCACCTTCGTCTATATAAAGCAGTTCCGATCCACAGCCCCGTTTCTCCAATAAATATATCAGCCAAAGACATTGTGTAGTAGACACAGACCACCGGATAATAATGAAAGAAAGAACTATCTACGGAGTACACTTGGCTCATAGTAGTAGTTCTAATTGTAATCACACAATGATAACAGCCCAAGCAGCCAGCCTTCCCCCGGAGAATTCCCAAAGTGACTATTCCGTACCTCCCTTCGCCTTACTTACCCGCTTAACAGACAGACAGTCAGACCCCTGCTGTCTTTTGAGACATGTACTAAAAGAAAACTCCATAAATACGGGGGTAATCCCTTAGTATAATTGCTTTTTATAACTACGTACGGAGTATCTAGTCTAGGTAAGTAAGTTGAGCCCTGAAATTAAGATCAGCGGTTGAAACCACGATTATTCGGACTCGAAGCGCTTAACAGGTAACTATGTGGATACACAGTAGGCTGTGGTGATGATGATGATGATGACTGCGTTCATGTACAGGCATAGCATGGCATGGCATGAAAGTGGCTATGTAAGCAAGCAAGTAAACTTAGTTTTTTTATCCTGCTTGCATGCTGTACCTTGGTACATTAGAATATGGAGTGGACTCCATCACTATGCTTGCTGTGTGATGAGTAGTTTACTTTTTCTTTGTACTTAAGGGTACATAGAACATGTGTTTTATGTACGTATGTACTGTGATGCGGAGGTGCAGATATGCATATTTGCCTTGTTTTCTTGCTATATCTATCTTGTTTAATAGTATAGTCTTCTATACTATAAACTATAAGGTGTTATAACCTTCAGTAAAAGCAAACATTTATATTGAGTAAGTAAATAAGTAAGTAGGTATCCCAACACAATATATCTCCCTCCTCAGTAAACCCTATGTCTATCGACAATATACTCCATATGATGATACTAATAAGAATAATATACTTCTGACCCGTCCAAAGACCAACCAGATACATCCATCCAAGACAGAACTTCGGTATATAATGGTATTCACATATCACATCACATCCCATCACCATACTGTAAGTAGAAACCCCGATGGATGATGAGAAACTGAAACTGAAACCAATAAATGACCTCATTAATTCTCCGATTTCGCCTACCGCCATTATTAGTAATCTCATAACAGCAGAAGCAAAAGTAAAAAAGCAAAAGCAAAAGTAGTACCGTATAGAGTATCAATCTACGTGAGTACTTCCCTACAACTAATGATCCATATCCCCTTATTGCATTACTTCACCATATTTTTTCCGCTTACGAAGTAATTAACAATCATTAATCGTCATCATCATATCCCAACATACCTCATACTTTCCACCCCTTGACAATAACTTATCCACGGTATACTCAACAGTAGCTGAGAAATGCGCGGAGTGGAAACAAAGCGGCAATTAACTCATCGGATTTACCATGTCAAGTAAAGTAAGTACATAAGTGGACCGGGATCTCATCCCGTCTGTTAGTCAAATCTTCAATCAATCAACCGATCAACTAATCGATCAATCAATAAGTTCTGTCCCATGGAACCAACCGTTAACCCTCAGCTGAAGCCAGTGGGTAAGTAGTTAGACTAGGTGGCTGCCTGGACGTTGTGGAGTACGCGGCAAGTAGCACAGCTGAGCCTCATTTATCATCATCATCGAATGATTCATCAATTTGAAGACGTTCTAGAAAGTGCTGGGACCCGCGGTTAGAACTACGTACTAGGCTTCTGGGGTGGCACGCGTCGTAGTCGTCCGGGTTTGCCTCCCGCCCCGGGATCACGGATCATGGATGGATCCATGGGGCGTAGTTCTACTAGTAACTCCGTAGCTGGGTTTGCCACTGGGCGTGCCCCGGATTCAACCCAACATCCCATTCATCCGCATTACTCAGTATGGTTATGGATATGGATGATCGGATGCGATCCTCACTCTTTGTTTACTGGCGAGTCATCTTGTCATACTATTATACCAGTGGCAACGATCTTCGGTGGATATATTTCTCAATTGAGAGGTGAAAAAAATACTACTATGACATAATATGTACAACGGATGGGCCCGCAATCATCTCAAAAAGTATACTCCAGATAAGAAAAGGATCAGCTACACAGCAAGTGATTACGCCTTGGGTCGAGACAGAAACGGATGTTTCAACGCCTCTGTCGGCGTGCACCGCTTCTCCGGATTGAGGTTCAAGCATCGGTCCAGTAGATCCACAAATTGGGCCAGCTCTTTTGCCTCACTGTCTGTCATGCCTCGTGTCTCCTTGCCTCCCATTAGCCGGGTCTTCAAGTCCCGCGTCGGCTTCTTGAAGTCCAGCACCCGCGTGACTGGTCGCCCGGTGATCTTATCCTCTTCCATGCTCAAGAAGTTAAGCATGTCATCGAAGTGCATCGCCGTCAGCGACCCTCGCCGCAGCAGCTTCGGCGGATATTTGCCACGACATTCCATGATGGATCGTAGCATCTGGTTGTTGTTGCGCCCCGTAAACAGGATCTTGCCCGTGTACAGCTCGAACAACGTGCAGCCGATCGACCACACATCAATGGCGTGGTCGTACGGGATTCCCAAAATAATCTCGGGCGCCCGATAGAATCGACTCACGAGATAAGGTGTGATCTCGTTCTCCGTCGCCGGGGATGCCGATCCCAGGTCGCACACTTTGAGGATGTTGCGTTGCTCGTTGACCAACAGGTTGTCGGGCTTGAGGTCCGCATGGAGAATGTTGCACTTCCGCATCAAGCTGAGCCCCAGGAATATCTGCTGGGCATACGCCCGGATGGCTCGCAGGTTCAAACCAACGTCGCGGCCGAATTTCTTCAAGACCTCCCGCAGGTTCATGCTCAGGTTCTCAAACACCATGCACAGATGTCCCTTGTGGTCAAAGTACCGCTCAAACTTGATAAGATGCTTCTTGTCCTCCGGATCGGCCTCGTGGAGCTGCTCCAGGATGCCGATTTCCTTCATGCCCGCCTTCTTCATCGTGTCATTCTGGCGGATAATCTTGATGGCAACCAAGCCACCAGTCTTGGAGTCCGTGGCGCGTACGACCGACGAGAACATGCCTTTGCCTAGATTCTGCTGCACATGGTATCGCCCGTTAATCAACTCACCCAGCCGGACATTGTAATATCCTTCCGGGTCGTCCCAGTTGTCCATCATACTGATGTCGAGCTCTTTGGGCTGCGGGACTGCCGACTTAGCCGATGCATGCGTTGGCTGCGTAGCCTCCTGCGTGTCTTCAGCGAACATATCATCGTCATCATCCTCTGCGAACATGTCATAAGGATCCTTCGCTTTGGGCTGAGGCGGGGGTTGAACAGCGTCGGGGAGCAGGATGTCCTGTCGGGAGGTTTGCGTCTCCTCATAAGACGCCGCAGACAACTCCTCATTAGTACCACGATTATCATGCCTCTCCCTCTCCGCTTTCATGTCCAAGGTAGGGTCGTAGTCTGCTGCAGACGGACCATCTTTGTCCACACCGTTTACCGGTGCGCCGTTCATTAAATCAGCATCTTTGCCTACTTTGAAGTCAGAGAACAACTCCCCTGGACTATCAGCAGGTGTCTCAGGTGCTGACAACGGTGCTGCTTCTGTAAACGAATACGCTGTTAGTTACAAATTCACTCACTTCGACACGATCTAGCGGTCAGAAACTTACCAGAAACAGCTCTGCCTGATGCGGCAGTATCAGCACCTGGAGTGGTCGAATCTCTACTAATTTCACCGATGTGAAGTGCCTGCAAACGCATCGGGGTAGCTTGGCCGCGGTATTTAGCCCGGATTGCTTCACGTCGTTTGCGACGGGCCTCTAACTGGGCTGCTTCGTCAAGGGGTTCGGCCGGGGGTTGTTCGTCGTGAGTTTCGGACGCCCCATTCACACTAAAAACATTAGCTTAGTACCATCTACCGACTGGGAAAACCTACCTATCAACATGGGCATGTAAGGTGGCAGAAGCTTGCTGCACCTGAGGTTTCTGAGTTTCAGCATCTTGCTTAATACCTTGAGCGACGACTGGAGTGTTCCCTCGCTCGCTCACTGACTGTTCAATAGAAGCCCCCCTCCTGCGATTCCGAGAGGCAGTACTCTCATTTCTTGGAGACTCCCACTCATCCCCGGAATACTGCTTAGGCTTGCGAACTTCGCGGTACGGCGACCGGCTCCGCGTGCGCGCGCGTTTCTCTCTGCGGCGATCAGATTCGTCGCTATATCGAAGGCCATCGCCGTAGTGCTCTTCACGGTCGTAGTCATAATAGGAAGGCCGTGCGCGTCGGTCGGGCTGACCTCGTCCGTAGTACCGGCTGTCATCGTATCGGGATCCGACGCGTCGGGGAGGTTCGTGTCGGTAACGCCGGTCGTCATGGTCATAATCATCATATTCATCGTCCCGGCGCCGCTTGTAGCCTCTGTAATCGCGGTAGGGAGAACGGGACCGCGTACGCGAGGTCGACCTGGTCCTGGTCCTCGATCTCCGGTGGCGTGGCGATCTGCTCCGTGTCACGGATGCAGGACTAGCTCTGGTGGGACGGTCAACGATGCTGCCATTAAGAGGAAGTTTCGACGTAGTTGCCTTCGTCTCTGAACCTGATTCGATGATCTCACCCTCTGAAGGGGTCGATGGAGACCTCGACCTGCGGGATGCCATGGTGGTATATTACCAGGCTCACTCAGGGATCCTGAAGATGAACTAAAAAAAAAAAAAAAAAGTTTTGGGCTGGCTCTTCGAGCAGCTTCAGAGACAAAAGAAGTAAGTCCCGGTTAGCAAGAACGTTTCCGACGAAGCGTTATTTGGGAGGAGTGTATTGAGAAAGTCCAACCGGCTGAGAATGCCACGGCCCTTGCCCTTGACTACCGTCTCAAGAAAGCATGAGACAGTGTTATGCTGTGTGATTTTGTTTGAGGTTCCCTCAGATCCTTTTGTATTTCAAAACGTAGAACGACAGAACCAGATAGATGGGGTGAAGGATGGAAAGACTGGATGGATGGAAACTTGGCAGCGATATGAGGTGCGAAAGTAGCCAAAGTTGAGATGGGGAGATGCCCGGGCGGTGAGGGGCGGCCGCCGAAGATTTTGCGGCTAAGCGGAAAGGAGACTAGTGGCTCCCCGCGGGACAATCGCTGATAAGCAGCCGATTTTTTGCGACGCCGCGATTCTTTCCCCTCCTCCAAGACTCGCAGCAAGCGCCACTTCACATCCTCTTCCTCCACGTTCACTACACTTTTGTTCTACGACACAATGGGTGGTCAAAGCAGAGAAGGTAGGATGCCGCCACTTATTCAGAAGCTCATCTTTCATAGCCTCATACTGATCCCCTTTCTGCACAGGTGGCAAGGTCAAGCCTCTCAAGTCCGCCAAGAAGGACAAGAAGGAGCTGGACGATGATGACCTCGCCTTCCAGGCCAAGAAGAGAGCTGGTATGTTTTTCGTTACATGCAAAACTGTGGTAGTCACTTTGCTAATCATATTGGGCATCTGCAGAGGAGAAGGCCAAGAAGGAACTTATGGAGAAGGCCAAGGGCAAGGGCCCCCTGAACACTGGTAACCAGGGTATCAAGAAGTCTGGAAAGAAATAGTCGGACTGTGGGCTTGAGGTTCTATATGTCTTCACGAGATACAACGAGCTACGACCCACAACTCGGTGTGGAGTATTTGCATATGCATTGAGCACTAATACCATGAGCAACCACTTTTCTTTGACACCTTTTCATTTCATAGAATAATGCACCTTTTGCTATCCACCAGAAATATCCACACCGTCAATCACCAGGATCAGCTTCATGATTAGGAGCCCCAACAAGCGGACAGGGTATCATTGCGCACGGCACAGTAAGAAGATAGCCCACTGGCATCGTTAGGAAGAAGTAAACATAAACCCGCTGTATGATGCCCAAGGGTATTCGCAACGCTCAAAGACACGCCCCGGCCAATATCCAGCAGCAGGAAAATCTGACCAAAGGATGGTGAAAAAAGGAAATAAACAAAATGACAATGATAGAGGATTCAAGGGAAGGGAAGGGAATCCTGAAAGATACCCAGAAAAGAAATCCAACGGCCACAGCCGATGCTCTTCAACTAGTCACTCGTTTGACCCACAAGCTACCCCCACCATACCCAAGATCGTCGCGCTTTTTCCAAGCCCTGAACAGCTTCAGACCTATTTCGTGCTCTTCCCGCTTGATCTCCGCAAGTTCTGTCTCAAGGCTGGCCACCGTCCGCTTCACCTCGTCCCTGGCTGCCATGTCGTAGGCAACGGAGCTCGGCTGGATCACTTGAGTCAATTCATAGATGATTGTTTCGACGTTCGCTCTCCGGCGCGTCAGGGTGTCTCTGCGAGCCTCCAACGTCTGGATGCGGTTCTGGATCTGTTCTTCGGGTGTAAGTTGTAACTGATCCTTAGGCGGTTCGGTTTCAGCGGCCTGCGCCGGCGTGGGCTTTCTGGTGGGCTTTTTTGCTGGCGCAACGTTACTAGGTACAGGTCGTTTCCGAGACATGATTGATGGGACGTGTTCAGTGGACTGAGATGCGGCGTCTATGCTACCGCGTGCACTTCCAACAGAGCTGGCGGTTTCTGTAGGTTCATATGTAGTAGCGCTGAAGCGGCTTGCAGGTTGTTCGGCCGCGTCATCAGTTGTCAACTTCAAGTCAGCCAGCGATGACTCCCAGTCATCCGGTGCGGGGAAATCAACACGGGGCGGCTCAGCACTGCTGACAATGCTCGGAGCCGGCTCCTCCGGGGTTCGTGCTCGGAGATTATCCCTGCTAGTTGTGTGCTTAACCCTCTCCGACGCCTTTGGCTTGGAATCACCAGCCGTAATCGTGGTCACAACAGTCGGAACAAACCCGCAAGTGGCATAATCGGGTGTCGTGCTGTGCGCTTCTCTTAGTCGATCGTTACTCCGGGACATGTGCACACGTGATGGTGATCTAGCCCTCGGCTTTTCCTGGATGGGTGCTATTATCGGAGCTCGTCCACTAGGTCCCTTCCAGGGCTCGCGCACTCCAGGTGGGAGCGTGTTCTCGGTTTTGGACAGCCGGGTGCGTGGCTCCGATAGTTTCCTTTTTGAATTCAGATGATCCTTGCTCCAGCCAAAGATATTCGAGCTATGGGATGAGGCAGGCTTTGCCGAGATTTCGGTGCGGAACGAAACGCTGCCAGGAGTTGTCGGGCCAGATCTGCTGAAGTCGCTGGGCGTCAGCTCGCCAGATAAGTCGTCCCATCTGGATGTCTGGCTTCTGGAGGACTTGGGCGTTTGTAGCCGGTCTGCCTGCGAGTTGGCGCGCTTGCGCAAGACGGGCAAATGGCTAGCAAATCTAGTGTTCTCCTTGTTCTCCATGGATCCGGCGCTCGAATCGAGTGTGAAGTCGTCTTCTATGGGTGACACACGCGAGCTGTCGCGACTCGCCGGTGGGCGACCGAAGGAGATGGGGGAATCCGGGGGCGAAATGCTTGCACTTTCGGGTCGATATAGGTCGTGAGTGAAGGTAGCTGGGTTTAGGAGATAATTATGCGATAGGCTAGCGGAACGCTGGTGAGGCTGGTCACCAGTAGCAATGTCCAGGGCATGGGAGGTGGACGCGACCCGTCGACCCGTGTCGGGACGTTGCGCAGGAAGGAGCGAGTCCGTCGGGTTGCTAGAACGTATTAGAGAACACAGCTACTTTGATTACAATCAGGAGAGAAGGATGAAACGACTTACCGGGCAATTGCGGGACGGGACTTGGGATGGGCCAGTGTGTCACTGCTCTGGTTGCCCGGAGCGGGGGACAGAGACCGGTAGACACTATCATCTAGGGTCTTGTCGATCAGTGTTGGCTTCCCGATCACGGGCTTCCGCGAACGATGGAAAGACATTTTCCCCCACATGTTGCCGGTTGGACTCGTGGGTGATAGGATTGGGTGAAATTGATGAGAGATCGGTGGTTTTAAAACTGATTCAACAAATAAGTATGAGACCCCGCGAGGCTAGAACGAAAGTCCAAAATTCCGGAATGTGATCCGTATCTCAACGCATACCTTTAAAGTATTTCTAGATCGTGGTGGAATGGCTAAGCAAGGAGTGACACAAAACGGTCGCTGATTAACATAGAAGAAGAAAAAAGCAATATAGTTATGCTATGGCGAATAGAGGTGGGTTTCATGCAGCTGACATGCCTGCACGTCAGGGAATAGAGCTGAATTGGAGCACAGCAGAACGAAGGGGAGGGAAGAGGGAGAGAGAAAGAGAAGACGAAGAGGGAGGGGAACTAGTGGAGAAGAGCGAGTGAACAATTAATTAAAGGGCTAAAGCTGGTGTTATACTACAGATAAGACCAGACAATTGGCTTGAAAGAAAAGAAAAATAAATTAAAAACGCACGCAGATGCAAAAGCGAGGGGAAAAAATGGAGAAAGAAGAAAGAAAGAAAAAGAAAGAAACACAGCTAATCAAGGTGGTTCTCTCTTTGAAAGCAAACCGGTTTGCCTGCGTGCGAGAAGCGGAGAAAAGAGTAAGTAATGGTAGTAACTAAAGAAGGGATGAAAATTAATGAATGAGAAATGAATGGAGCACGGAGAAGCAACTGACAGCAGCAGCACCAGCACTACTTGGATGCAGCCGGAGGATCCTGTTTCAGAGTCAGTCGGTTAGTTGTGGATGGTCCTTCAATTCTAATTTTAACTGCCCCCATGGTCGAGAGCAGCCCAACGCTCCATCGCAATTAGAGGAGCATCCCAAAATTAGTATGATTACTTTTAGTATAGTTGAACCAGACAGCAATCTCCGTCGCACAGACTCTCAAACGGTCTCCCAAGAATGGTCCGATCAGTTGATCTTCTCTGCCTTGAGATTCTTTGGGTTAATCGTCCGAGCAAAGATTATCCACAATCAACAGAGTAGTAACTACTTAGTAACTACTTAGTAACGGAGTAAACAAACACTTAAATAAATCATTTTACTGCCTGACCCATCAGACATGAACAAGCATACTATCACGTGCCGATAACCCGTGCCGTACCGTATCAGTACCGTAATCGGCCCTGTTCTCCGCACCCAATCCCCCTTCATTGATTGGCTCTTCTCCTCAACTTCGTCATGATCGCGAGTTCCGCGGCTCTCCAACTCCAGCATCATCATCATCTTCATTCCATCACTTTCTCTATCCCCCTCACCTAAAGTTGACACACATCTATACCACAAATCTCCACACACTCAACTCACCATGTCTACCCCAGGTACTCCCAAACTCTACACCATCCCCTAAACCAACAATAACAATTAAACAATCAAACTAACTCCATCCCTCCAGACGAAGCTGTCCCGCAGCCCGCCGAAGTGTCAGTTGCTTACTATCCTCACCCACCACCAACATATCACCCTCTCCTCTACTCTACTCTTCCCAAGGAACCCTCACTAACAAATAACCTATAAATCCAGCATGACAATCGCCACCCCCATCAACCTCATCCTCCTCTCTCTCTTCGTCATCCTCGTCTACCTCCAACTCCGTCCCAAAGCCCCCGTCAGCCTCCCCAAGGGTCCTCCCCCCGTCGTCTTCCGCACCTTCACCCCAACCACTCTCCTCCCCTTCAACGGCGAGAATGACGCTCCCGTCTACCTCGCTGTCCGTGGTCGTGTCTTCGACGTGACTCCCGGCAGGAACTTCTACGGACCGGTACATACACTCACCCCCACCCCGGAAACACCCAGTATCCCCATCAAATAGAAGTAAGTAAAGATACTAATAAAAATCTATGAAACGTGCAGGGCGGTCCCTACGAGAACTTCGCCGGTCGCGACGCTTCCCGCGGTCTGGCTTGCCAGAGCTTCGACGAGGAAATGCTCACCAAGGATCTGAAGGGTCCGTTGGATGATCTGAAGGATCTGGATAACGAGCAGTTGGAGAATCTGCAGTCGTGGGAGGAGCGCTTCTCTGAGAAGTATTTGGTTGTTGGGAAGTTGGTGGCCGAGGGAGATCCGGAGGCTAAGAATGCTTGATCTTGCTATTCTTTATTTTTGTGATAGCGAAGTGGGTTCGATGGGTTGGGATTGTGGGTTGAGTTGGGCGGAGAGGGCTAGATAGATGTACGTTTGGAGATGGTTTCAAGGGACCGAAGATATTATCATCGAGTTCGGTATAAGCGATTCATATCCTATTCTAAAAGCGTTGGTATTTTAGTCATGCTGAAATGAGGATCAATTAAATTCAGTTCAATGGTTTCGGGATCTTAAGCTGACATTGATATGATCGGGTTATTGTACACTTGGTTGCATTGTTCGACTTGAAATATCAATAAATACTAAAATTTATTACTCGAAGTATTCCACTTCCACTATTCATCCTTCCCTTCCGTCCCCAACTTTTGCACCAGACAGGATTCAGTGAATATCGTAGACCGCCTCCACCCCCTCTCAAGACCCGCAGTCATTATGTGATGTCATAACGTCGTATCCCTTGAACAACGCCCCCCGTAAACATGAATAACATCGAAGAAAAAGTATCAGAAGTCGGGTTGGTCTGTTTACAGTTCGACCCGCATGCTCGAGGCAGCATGGGATCCCTGCGCCTTGGCTTTCTCAGCAGCCTCAGAACCCTTAGCCTTGGCCTTCTCAGCGGCTTCCTGGCCCTGGGCACGACCACTGGATGCGCCAATCTTCAACTGGTCCAGAAGCCACTGGCCGGCATCTTGCATCTTAGCGAAGATAGTTCCCGAAGGGGACGAGGTGCCGTAGCGGAAGTATTCGGCATTGCGGCGAGCAGCGGCGCGAAGTTCGTTGATTCCGGAGCCCTGGTAGACCGGGATGCCGTACGAGTCAAGGTAAGCCTTGAGGTCGGAATGAGTCCAGGTGTCGAAGGCGGAACCCTTGGCTGCATCAGTGGCCTGCGCCATGTAGGAGGTGGCCGATGCGAAGTTTGCACCTCCGGTCTTGGATGCTTTGGCATAGTTTTCCTGGGCTTGCTTGACAAGCTCGTCGCGAGTGATGTCGGCGCGGTGGGCTGCCTTGGCGTTCATGGAGGATAGGTACTTCCTAGATGGTTGTTAGGATATCCCATATACGGTCACCGGTCTGGAGGGGACTTACTTCAGGTGCTCAGTGTCCCAGGTATCAAAGGTCCAAGCAGACCAGCCAGTGGCTGCCTTGTGGCTGTGGAGCCTCACCTTAGCAAGGAGCTCGTCTCGCTTGCCGCTCTGAGGCACAGGGACTCCGCGCGCATCGAGGAAAGCCTTCAAACGCGAGTCGGACCAGCCTTCAATGACGGTATCGAAGCTATCTTGGAACTTGGCCTGAGCAACATCTGTGGCCTTATCGTACTCGTTACCAGCTTTGGAGGTTGCGGCACCAATGATCTGAGTAGCGGTGGACGAGATGGTGGCAGAAGCCTCCGAAGCCTGGCTAACCAGAGAGGCGCGGTGCTTCCTCGCCAGAGCTATGAGTTCATTGCGTCTAGATCCCTGGGGTACCTTGACACCATGCTCATCGAGGAACTTCTTCAGATCGGAGTCGGACCAAGCCTTGAACAGGGCATCGCTCAAAGTAGCCTGCGCAGCTTCCGCGGAGGCGGAGGCGGAGGCAGCGATGCTCTTCGCATTCAGACTGGCCAGTCGAGCGTTACGGCGGACCGATGCAATAAGCCTGTCGCGCGTGGTGGGCTGTGGAACCGGCCAACCACGCTCATCAAGCCATTCCTTGAGATCAGACTCAGTCCATTGCTCATATACCCAGTTACCAGGGTAGGCGACAGCCTCTCCAAGCTTCGTGGCAATAGACTCATAGTTTTCGCGAGCAGTTTTCAAAAGCGTGTCACGCTTGCGAGGCTGGGGAGCAGGAATACCATGACGGTCAAGGAACGACTTCAACTGGGAGTCGGTCCATCTGTGTAGACTATTAGTACATTGTATTACGTGAAGGACAGCCTCGCAGGTCTTACGTGTCAAAGAGCCATTCCTTGGCATCATGCCAGTGATCATGAGAGTGCTGTGTAGCATGAGCCAGGGGCTTTTGGACTTTAGCTTCCCAGTTGGACTTCACAAGGGACTCTAGATCCTTGCGATCGGCCGGCGACGGGTACGGGATGTCTATAGACATTGTCAACTATGCAACAGAGAAAGATCTATACGGGAAGGGAAGCATACCATGATCAGAAAGCCATCTTTCTAACTCGGTTTCATGCCATTTGTTGTAAACTGATGGATGTTAGCGGTTGTCTCGGCATGGGAGCAGTCAAAGCCGTCATTGGTATAGAGGTTGACATACCAGCCTTGCTAAACCAGCTGGAAGCTCCAACCGCCTCAAAGGTTGCGAGCGCAAATACCAGATACGAAGCCAAATGAAGCTTCATCCTGGCGAGAGGTAGAGATTATATCGAGCGTTGATTGTTGTTGTTTGCTTATAGAGTCAAGGTCAGCTCTCGCTCTACCATGAACCATGTAAAGTATCAGTGAGAGCAACTTACAATTGTGAATTGTGAGATCTTAAGCAACAGAGATTAAGACTACAACGTCCCGGGATGAAGATATTTATTGGTCGCAGAGCTGGCGATCTCTCGTCAAAAAGAAGAATCAGGGAGGCGGCGCGGGATGAGCGTCGAGTGACGTATGACGAGGAGCAGGCCAGCTTCCCCCAATTCTGGCGTCATCGATGATAGAGTGGCCCATAGTTAGTGCCCCAGCTTGCAGTTGAGTAAGCTTTGCTGGCTTGCTGGGCTGACTCCATTCACTGTCCGGTCCTTTGTCCCACCGCCTGCGACCGGGGGGGAACTTTCGTGACTTGGTTGACTCCGTGAACAAACAATATACATCAAGTATACTATTGATGTTTCTTAATGCAAGGCACATGATCTGCCGCTAACTCTTTAGGGCGATCGGCCCAGCCTTGCCTATTTGGGCAATGCGGAGACGGGCGATAAGGAGAACAAGTGCTTAGTGATGGCTAGTCAAGGGAACTAATCTGCTAACTCATTCCTCACTCCTCCTACTTTGGCACTATCTACCCTACTCAACTAATATCTACCTGACAAGTCATCCTCATCCACTTCCTCTGCCACACAGGTCCAATCAACGCGGGTGTGTGCTGGTATGAGAATGTTGTTTTAGGATCCAATAATCCGCTGCTGTCTCGGGCCGCCTCCGCCTTTCCCTCCAAACCGCCCCCTATGCTCGGGGTATATGTAGAAGTCCAGCTGTGCTCGACGTCCCGCTTGCTGAATTAATTGATTTGATTCATACCATCTGTCTGGAACAGTTATATCTGGCTGGTGACAGCCATATATCGGGTATATACGTGGTTCTGTGTGTGCAGTCATAGCTGCTTCTCAACATGGATCTCTCCAATCCGCGATGCGAGCATCTGGCCTCGCCTGATATTAAAAACTTCATCCTCTCCATGTATGTATTGTCTTCCAACCATTACCCAAGTTAACTCTAGCTCAAGCTAACTGCATCCAGCCTCATCGTCTTCGGAATCCTCCTCTCCTACACTCCCCAACATGTCCGCATCCTAACAATGAAGACCTCCTTCGGTATCTCACCGTACTTCGTCCTCCTAGGAACCACATCTGGTTCCTCGGCACTAGCCAACGTAATCTCGCAACAACAAAGCCTCCACGACATGGCCTGCTGCAAGGAAGTCAACGGAATGGGCTGTTTCGCAGGAATTCTCGGTATCCTCCAAGTCGGAACCCAATGCCTTTGCTTCTTCATCATGTAAGTCCAGCCCCATCCCCCTCTCATTATTCTCACCCAAAAGTTCCTAATACTGATATCAAAATTCAGTCTATTCCTCTTCGTTCTCTTCTTCCCCCGAAATACCACCCACCTCCCCAAATCCAGCCCAACCTATCGCACCGCCTTAACCGTCGCCGTCATCTGCATCATCCACGCCGCCGTCATGCTCATCACCACCCTCGCCGTCGGCTACACCCGCCCTTCTTCCCTCCAAGCATGGTCCAACTTCTGCGGCATCCTTTCCGCCCTCCTCGCCTCAATCCAATACTTCCCCCAGATCTACACCACCCTGCGACTCCGCTGCGTCGGATCGCTTAGTATCCCCATGATGTGCATTCAAACGCCCGGCAGTCTCGTCTGGGCAGGCAGTCTAGCAGCGCGATTAGGTCCAAAGGGGTGGAGTACCTGGGGTGTGTTGATCGTGACTGCTTGTCTGCAGGGGACGCTGCTGTGCTTGGGTGTGTTCTTTGAGTTCCTAGGACCGAATCGGGGACACGGTCATGAAGGACATGATAAGGATACTGTGGTTGCGAGGGGAGAGGATGGGGAAGAGGAGGTGGCGCATGAAGATGATCAGGACTTGCCGTCCGAGGAGACGCCTTTGTTGAGGGATCAGTGATGAACATCTTCATTTGTTTGGCTTTTGGAGAGTCTGATATGTGGTTGGTTGGTTGGTTGGTCGGTTGGTTCGAAGATGCAAAAGCGCAAAACTGTACTTCTTCTTCTTCTTCTTCTGAGATCGTCCTGTTCTGTTCACATGCCATGTATATCCTACCTACATACCTTGCTTGGATAGACTATACTTCTTGGCTGCAATGTATCAATCGCTGCTGGCGCAGCTGTGTATGATTGACTGTTCTCGGTTCCAGGCACAAACATGATAGATGGAAAAGGGGTGGATAGTATAGTACATATATTAGTAAACAAGGAAGAGAATGATATAAACTCTCACAACGAAAGGACAGGGGAATAAATTGAAACACAGCAACCAAAAGCATGTGTCGATCCTCTTGGAACTAATTCATTAACTTCATCTCATGGAAAGCTGTCTACTGAATGGGAGCCCCCTAAGTCACCCATCACACACGTCACACCAAAAACCCCGCTGATTCCTCATGATTCAAGTTTAACCCATGATGAGACGGAAGATGTCGTTGAAGACGTAGTAGCTGCCACCCTCGGGGTTGAGAGTGAAAGTCTGGGTGTAGTTCATGGGGCGGGGCTCATCATCGACCTATTAAGAAAGGCGGAATTAAGTCAGTTAAATTAACAGCAAGCCAACCTCGGTTGATTTAGGGGGGTGCGGGTGCGGGAGAAGAGGGAAGGCATTCTTCCGCTAACGAAGGCAGGGTACATACGATGAGGGCACCGGTAACCATGACGATGATGCTGCCGTTAACAGAGGGCTGAGCATCGAGAGTGGAGATCTGGTGCTGGACCTTCTGGAAAGGAAGGCTCTGTAATTCATCGCATCGCATGTGTCAGTCAAGCTGGTAATGGGTCTCAGCAAAGGCTAGTGAGAAAACTAACGGTCAGCTTCTCCATGATGGGGGCGACGCTCATCTGAGAAGAGGTCTCGAAGGTGAGCATGGAGTTATCGCGCTATCAATCAGGAGATGAATACGTTAGCCGAATAAGAGCATACTATAGAGGGATTGCGGGGTATTCAGCGTACGTAGAGACCGGCCAGCTGCTGACGGTCCGAGTCAAAGGTCTGGTAGTAGAATTGCACAAATTGCTCTGTTCGTAGCGACATATGTTAGGCCATGTTATGGAGGCAGTCTATTTGGGTAGACTCGGGTGTCTGCGACGCATATGGGAATAGGAGGGGGACTGTCTGATGCGACGATGCATGCAGTCATCCCCTGATTGATGGGGTATGGGGGCCAGATCGGAGGTAATAACACGTACGTGCGATGTTCTGGAAGTCTAAATGTTGAAGGCAATGCGTTAGCTTTCACTGTCAGGATTGTATGTGAAGGTGGTGGTGGGTTTCGCCGTGGAGGGGAGCCCAAGAGCCTCAGAGAGGGGCAGCAAAACATCAGATGAGATGGACGGGGCGTCGCATCGAGGAGAGCGACGGCGCGAGAGTGGACTTACCGGCCATTTTGATGGATGTGGTATTTGTGAGATCTAAAAAGAAGAAGATGCAAGGAGATGAGGCAGTGGCAGTGGGATAGACAGGAAGGAAAGAGTCGAGGTTGACATCAACATCAAAAGTATTTCCGTCGCGAGGGGAATTGTGGGGCGCCGCCAGGGTCGGTGCCTTAGCGCCCTTAAGGCAGCAAGCATGACACTCCGCTCACTTTTTACAGCTTCACTTTCATACATCTTGTTGACTGATAGTTTCTACATCTGCAACCAAACTCCTACTGCATGGTAGGCAGTGCCCATTGTGATGTGATAATACGAGAAAAGGTATCGTAACCCAACATTATAACCTAGTAATATAGACATATCATTCCGTCTTCACCATTCATACCCGAGCAGCCCTATATCACTCATCGTCTGAATCGGCAAACATATCTTCGGCTTTAGGCCGCGGCTTTCGGGCTGGCGGCTGGTACTCCGGTTGGGCTGGTGGCTCGGCTGGTTTTTGTGGTTGCTCTTCCGACTCCCTGGGATCTTCCTCTGCAACAGAGTCTTCTTCCATTGGCTCTCCATCCGGCCCTTCCAAATCGCTGTCCTCCATAGGTTCTCCATCAAAATCACTCATAGATTCCCCATCAAAACTCTCAACCGCTGCTGGTGCAGCCGTCGGCTTATCAACATCCATCCGGTGAGTATGTGTTTCAGACGCTCGCCCAGGATCAAACTTCCCGGAGGTAGCATCTTCATCGACTGTCTTCCAGCGGCTCTTGTTCTTGGAGAATGCACTCGCAGCGCGTTCGGCCTCGGCCTTCTCCCTCTCTTCTCGTAGCTCCTCTTCCGTGAGCGGCGGCTTCTCAAAGATCTGGAAGAAGTGTTCTTGGCTTGACTGTGGAAACACACACCAGCCTTCCCACAGGTGAAGAAGAGTGCCAACACTACGCTTCCACTTTTCGGCCCTCAGTCGGCCCCATCTGAAGTCCTTCTCAAGTCTCCCTAGATGCTCAAACACCTGGTGTGTCTTCAACGCAGACTCGAAAAGCTGCCGATACCGCCAAGCATGTCGCACGCCGCTCGTGGCGGAAGATGAGAGGATGTCGGATACTAAGTAGAGACCAACTAACTTTGCAGCTGATGTATCCAGATTCTCCTTCGTCGGTGGCCGCCCTTCCTCGGCGGGATTATCCTTGGCTAAGTCTGCTTGTTCGCGACGGGCAATTCCTGTTTCTGCCTCACGATCGGGATTTGCCCCAGTGTAGGCAAACGGGTTCATGATGTTCGATACAATCATTTCCACGACTTCGTCGGCCCCTGCGCCCGCGTGCTCAATGGCGAAAGCAGTAACTCGAGCAACATCTCCCTTTCGTAATTTGGCATGTGTAGTCGGAAGTCGAGCAAGCAGATGGGTTAGCTTGGCCTTCTGTAAAGGATTCATATAGCCCAGTCCCTCATTTGCGGCGCCAGGACCCTCTGCTGGCGGTGCACCGCCAAGGTTCCGCCTTTCGTCCTCATAATCCGACATCTCTTCGTCAGAGGAGTCGTAGTCATCGTCCGTTACAAACTCGTCCATGCGTGTTGTATACTCGAACTTGATATGTGCCTCCGGCGGGGCCCAATTCGCACCACCCTCGAATATAGTGCATGGTGGTTGCGGCCTACCCCGTCGATGTGCAGGAGGGCGGGTATTGGTGAGAATCTCCCACAGTTTCCACCTATAGTACACACCACCAGCACTTCTAGCATTCCAAATCCATGCCCATTTCTCGTCTCTCTGAACCTCGGGTCTGCTCATGAGCAGCGCCTCAAACTCCGGTCCATAGCTCAATAAGTTCTCCAGTGTCTTGTGTATCAACCTCAGCTGTTTCAAGTCTGACGGTGCCTTCACCTCAACCTGGGTGGAAGGACCAGGCCTCCCATAAGCCAATCCGTACGACGACGGTGGCGCGAATCCTCCGCGATGCAACCCCGGGGGTGGAGCACGATTGAGTCGTCCAGGGATATCGGGCGTTATCGACTTGGCGCCAAAAGGAAGAGAGCTTGCGGAAGACAGGCCGACAGTGACCGGCATCGTCGAGCCAATAGCGGCAGAGGAAAGGTGTCTCGAGATTGTCAAATAGTATCCCCATCCTAGGTATCTATTCTGTAGAGCGCTAACAGTGCTATCGATATCCGAGGCCGCAGACTCATTTGCGAGAGTCACAATGGCGGCCACCGACTTCCGGTCGTTTATAGGCTGACCTGGGGGTCGCAGGATCTTAACATTATCGACAGTCAACACAGAGGGTATCAAAGACTTAAGCACCGAAGGCGAAGTTCCCGGCGGTAGAGACGCAAGATATAACGTAGGTTTCGCAGCAGCCCGTTCAGCCTCTTTCGCATCAGCAGCTGCTTCATCCTCATCATCCGAAGCACGGAAAGCCGACGCGGCAGCCGGTGCAGTATTATCAAACCCCAATACCCCCGACGCTGTATCCCGATTACGGTGTATTGGCTGAAACCCTTCGTGTGGGCGCTTTCTCGGAGGTGGTGGTCCCAGAGTACCAGGACCGCTCAAGCGCGGCCCCGAGCTCGTGAAATGGCGTTTTCCGGGGCCTCCAAAGCCTGGATTCTTGGGGGGGAATCGGCTCAATCGTCCATCGGAGGAATGTCGGTCGTGTGCTGGCGAGTCATCTTCGAATGACTTGACGAAGTCCTCGTATACGGCGGCGGTCTCGGCTTGCTCGCGGGCTCGTTTGGCTTCCGCTTCGGCTTTCTGGCGTTCGAAGAGCGACTTCTTGGGGATCGCGGACAGTTTGGCCGAGATGTCCGGGAAGCCTTTTGATTTCGACTCATCCGACATGGCGGCCAAGCTTCAGCGGCGAGAAGCCTCTTGTTGGGGGAGTAGGTATGTTTGACAGAGGGGGAATTGGAGAAGCTGGTCGGTCGGTCGGCCTTGGGCGCGGAGCGGAGATAGACCGGTTGCGGCCTGAGGCATGCATGCATCAGCATAGCTACTGCGACTGCATCTTTCTACATTGGGATGCTATCTGCATGTCTAATTGCGAGGGACTTGCTCGTAGTACTTGCTATGTTCATCCTACAAATTGTTTCTTTTAGACAGAGACGGACAGCCAAGCTCAGCAAAATGACGCCTGTGTGATTCTACGGACTTCATGGATAATGAATGATGCAATTCTGCAATAGCCACGAATCGACCATTGTGGCATCATTTAGCATTATCTCAGTGAACAAGGCAACTACGATAACTTGCAGGTAACTAGGTACAAAAAGAAGAAACAGCAAAAAACAATATGGGAATGAGCCCAGCCCGGCTCGATCGGACAACCTTACGATCTGGAGTCGTACGCGCTACCAATTGCGCCATAGGCCCATTTGTTGAAGAAAGCTTTCCGTAGGTTAATTCATATCGAGCTAACCTAGGATCCGTATAGAGTATGCTCGCTCGTCGATTCTTCTTGGAGTTTGTGTTGAGGAAAGCATGAATGGTTGATAACAAGTGATTACTGTTAGTTCATTATAATATGGAACTACCATAGCGCACTTAATTATATTTGGTGACTAATAAAGCCATGCTAGCTTTGGTTGCCCTGCATTCTTCGCCTCAGTTCTCGTTCACGCTCTCTTGCTCTTTCACTGTCTAGGTCTGGTGGCAGTATGGCAGCGGTTGAGCTCAGGCTTTTGTACTATGTGAGATTTGTGTGCTAATGATGTAAATACACATGCTGTAATTGGCCTTTTTTTTTTTTTTTTTTTTTTTGGTGGTGGTGGTTGTAACGCAGTAAACTCCTCCGTTGGAGGAGTCATTGGATGTGTGGATATATATTCAGTTCCGTAGGATCATGCACAAGTCATGCCACCAACCTTCGGCTACCGGTGATTTCCAGTAAACTGTACCAGTACTAGTGACACGGTACCCCAATACCAAACACGCTAGCTACGGAAGCGCTCTTAATGGGTAGTACCGTGAATTCTCCATGGCTGGTGGCATGCCAAGGCTTTCAAGCTGTAGACCTCAGATCCAGTAGCTTTGATCATGGAGTATATATGAGAGGCTTGGATACCAAGCCAACTGCCATTCATACAGACCATGCTGCTTTGTGCCGAGCGGCTCATGCCCGCCCCGTGCACAGAAGGCATGACATAGTGGCACCGAGACTGTGCCACACATTATGAGAGCGTAACATAGAATGTCACACAAAGACACCGCTAGACTTGCCTGTCTAGCCAATCCAGTGGTGGTTTGATACGTCGATAGAACAGACCCCAGGATCCGAGAACCATTTCTCCAAGCGACAGTGACAGCGAACTTTTGCCTGATCAGCAAAGAAATTCTATTGTACCCTTGCGGAGATATGCAAGAAGTATCCATACGGGAATACCAGACTAGCCGGCACAAATTATCAGCACACATACACACCCACTGTCGTTAAGCGGCAAGAAAGCTTTCGTACTCAGATCGCCAAACAAGTGCGAGGGCATGCAAAGCTTAGATGACGATCCTGCCGCAAGACCAAAGGAAAGAACCGTGCGTGAGATCGGACAATGGCGATATCGGTGCGTCAGTGAAGGAGTAGAAGATGCCTGACGTGTGACCTAGAAAACATGCGCGCCAATTAGTACGCTTAGAGTAAGTGATTAGTTCACCCAATTGCCAGACACCTCTGCAACAAGGTCGGGAAAGAACTCGAACCGATCACAAAAGACGTCCCAAATGATTCCAGAATGCAAAGAGAGTTGAAGGGAGAATCCCGACGACTCCATTCTCAGACAGTCAATGCTGCCCATCCACCAATAGACGTGTAACAGCACAGCGAAACCGAGTGCCTCAGTTCGAGAACCTGCAGGCTCCGATAAAAACCCGCGTGTGTTATCGGATCATCCCAGAAGCACCACTGGGCCGATTACGAGTATCGACAGTTCCACTAGGCCCCGGGCGATTCCTGGTTACACGACCCAGGGACTGATGTCAGACAAGTAGTAGCAGCCTTGTGCCAACCCAGGCCTGTTTTCCAACCCAAAGCGTTGCGTCCTGACCGGTGGGGAATAATTCACGATCTGGCCTGGAATGTGGACTGGTTGGAAGGTCTGGCCGGGCTTCAGACAGAACCTGCGGACTCCGTCGGTTGTAACTGCTGTGAGGGTGTAGTCTCTCCACAGAGCGTCCAGGGTACCTGACAGCGGATAAACCCAACCACATGGCATACCCAATGTAGGAGGTTCATGATGGTGGGCCATTTGGAACAACTAGTCTGAGCCAGTTGTGAACTGTGAGGGGTTATGGTGGCTCCGGGTCTTTCTCTTAATTGTTGTGGCCTGGTCATCGTTGGTTCTCAGCAGATTGCAGTCTGACTGGTTGATTGTTACTAGCCAGAACTCCACCTTCAGAACCACTGTTTCTTTGAGATCGGTGCGTGGATCCATCGACGGGAAACTTCCTCTACTGTTGTGTTATATAAACGGTTCAGCCAATCGGGCCGGCCACCAACACCAGAATGAAAGAAGGATGCCGCTTAATCATCTTTTCTTGATCAGAACAAAACACAGCTTGAACAATGGAAAGCTTCAAATTGTCGATCGTCTGAAGCCATGCCAACAAAAAAAGGCATTTCATTGAATAGTAATACCTCGACCGAGGAAATGCCCGCCATTGTATGAGACATAGGCACGATATGGCGGCTTTTTTCATGGCCTACCCACTGCCTTGTTCGTCATCATCCAAAACCTATAGCTGTAATAAGCCAGTCTGGGAAGCCATGGGATCCTTGTGTCACCATGGCTTGTCGTCTGATTGGATTAGTATATAGGCATCTCATGCTGTCCATGGCAGAATATGTTGAAATCATAGTTTATAACGAGCTGGCATCATAGCTCCGGCATAGAACCCTATCCGTGCTATAACTCGGCACCAATCATTCGCTATGGGCAACTGCGTTTCTTCAAGTTGGGGGAAGTGGGCGTTGTGTGTACAAGATAGCGCGACTTCGGCCCGATCTTGGTCTTCCACAGACTTCAGTGTGAGGTCACTTCTATCCCAGTCGCTACCAGAGCAGCCATCGACCGAGCCGTCATCTCCCGAGCAGGAAACAGCGGAGCAGGCAGTGCTCGAAGAACCCCGAAAGGCATCTCAGAGTCTCGATACTCTGCCTGCAGAGCTATTCGACATGATCGCCAGCTACCTTGACCGGGATGGGCTCTATAGCCTCTATCTCGTCTCCCAAAGGGTGAGCAAACTGGCATACCCGTCCATTCTTGCTTCCTTACATGCCAGGAAACACACCGGGCTCACGCCCATAGAGATCGAAAACATTCACACTTTGGCGATTGACCCCACAATCAATCACCTTCCCAGGTCGTTGCATGTAACCGTGCCCTATATCGGGTACAGTGCTGCACGGAAGGTAAGTTGGGGGCGCCTATCTTACGACCGCAAGGCCCTTCATGAGCTTCCAGAGATGAAAGCATTGAGGCAGGACTTGAATCGGTTAGTCAACTGCAAAGAGTTTCATTTCACACTCGCCAGGGCAGGGTCGACTTTGGAGAACAAGATCATGTACATTGAGGACGCTCTTTATGCAGTCCTTGCTGAAAACACCGTCCCAGTCGAGAAACTCATACTAGACAGCAGGGTTGTTAAGTCGCGGGCGAACGAGAAGTCAATGATGCACCCAAATCTTGCAAGGGTGTGGAGGCGCCTGAAGTCGCTCAAGATTACCGAGTCGCCCTCATTGGATTTTTCGAGAGGTACTGCTCTCTCCCACATCCTTCAACACGCCCCAGAACTTCGAAGCCTTTCCCTCCACAGTCTAGCTGACACCCCTGCACGTCGTTCAACAATATTCAAGTTAGCCAGCTCCGCAAACATACGAACTAACCGACTCGAGAAGCTGAGGCTCTCTTATCTCACAGTTGAGCCGGAAGATTTGATCATGTGGCTGACACGCTTCAATAGTACCCTGAGGATACTGGACCTTCAATCCATTGGCCTGGCGCACGGAAGCTGGGTCAATGTAGTCCAGCACATCCTCGACTCATGTCCTAACTTGCAGAAAGTTGTTGTGGACTACCCCTGGGTTTCTGAATGGAACCGGCGTGCCTGGGATAAATTTGAGTGCTCGGGGCCAGATATTCGAATAAAGCTAGAGCAATTCAAGCAGAGCGCCACTGAAGCCAAAATTTAGCTTGTCAAGGGCGACGTCCCGGCAAGTATCCACTCATTTGTGTACAAAAGTACGATCTCTGTATATGTTTGAGTTTGGAGATGCTGTCTAGTACATAGATTCCTTTTGTTTGTTGTGTGTACATTTCTGTGAACATTCCCATATTTTCGTCGTGTCTATTGCATGTTTGAGGTTCCGATCTATGTGATGTAAGCTGCCCACCCTTTCGGTGTTTGCTTTTCTTTTTGTCAATTTTTGTTTTGTTCTTTCTTTTTTTTCTACCCCTCTCATTCATTGGCCCTTGATTAGATGGTTCCTGACAGACAGGTACCAGATGCCATGGGTCGCCCACCATCCGGATCATCCCATGGTCTATATGACCGGCAGGAGATCGTGCATGGTAGCGAGCCAGGCTACCATCACTTGCTTAGACTATTGCCCTTAGCATAATAATAATTCAAGAATTGTGTTCAACCATCGTGTGTTTCTGTCACTTGACCTGAAGCCTTTGTGACAGGCCGAAAACGGCGAAAAGAGCGTCCGTCCATTCCTATGATATAATCGCCCGACCGCATGATAACCAAACCGCGTAGATCTTGGAGATGCGTGCATCCTTACCCAAGCCAGGGATTGCGCGCGCCTTTCCGAATTCGGCCAGATAGAGTTTTCCGAGCCATGCACTACTTCAACTAGGTCCTCGCGGGTTCCACCGGCAGCACCTCACGAACCCTTCTTCAGAGTCGGGCGGATATGACTAGACCCCTCTGTCTCCAGTAGTGGCCGCTAGTTTGGTTGGTCCTGGCCGTTTTAGTTTTTTTCGTTCCTCGCTTTTGCCTCCAGCGAGATAGTCCGCCTCCTGGAGGTTGTCCGAACTCGAGGCGGATCATACCCGATCGAGGCAAAGAAGGTGTGGGTTTCCATGTGTACGGTTAGTTTAGCTCATTTTGGCATATTTGATTGTGGAGGATAGGGCGGGCGGATCAAGGGATCAGGGAAGATGAATGGATGGAAAGAAGGGAATCGAAGTTGAAGAAAAAGAAGAAGCGCCCACAACGCAGAAAAAACAAAATATCCACCGATCGGATCAGATCACCTATGGAAAGGTCTATAAACGAGATACTTGGAATTAGCGAAGTCATGCTGCCAAGGAACGGGATAATTCCGGAGCACACCGCTTGGGACTAAGGGAAGAAGCGACCGGTGTCTCTGCTGCAGGCGCCTCTGACGACGACGGGGGAGGAAGATGTAGTGTAGTGTTTCAGGCCCAAAGTTGCTTCGCAAGGAGGGAGAAGAGAGAGAGAGAGAGAGAGAGAGAGAGAGAGAGAGAGAGAGAGAGGGGGGAGAGTGGGAAAGTGGGAGTGTGGGTGCGTTACTTGAGTGGTCACGCCTCCACGCCGGTTGCTTGCCGGGGTACTTTGCCTCATACTTTCAGCGCCGGATAGGGCCTGAAAAGATGACAAGAACCATGGCCAGTGTTTCACGTCTGTTAATTCGAAAAAATCACGTTTTTAATTTTTGATTTATTAATTTTTACCCTCTATTTTTTTTGTCCTTCTTACTTACATAGAAGCAAGTGGACAATGAATGTTCTAGGCCAACACGGCAGAACAGAGAGAGGGAGGTAGACTACCCCGTATCTGTCACTACGACAGCGCCGACTAGATAGATAGATAGTAAGTAACCCGTAGTGGCGAGGCGCAGCAGTAGCTACATGCCACAAATAGAACACAAATCGACTATGACGGGAGGAGACGGACTATCTTTCTAGAGACTACGCAATAAGAATGAATGGTTTGATAGTTAAAATGGAAGGACTTGCTGAAATTGAATTCCTTTCCAATGTCCCAAGTCCATCCTTTCGTTTTCATTAGCTTGATTCTTGTTATTGTTGCACTCCAGCGTCACTCTCTTTCTTGGGTCCCGAAAAGAAAAGAGGCCGCCCACTTTTTTCGCTCGTTTGCCCACTTCCAGTCCGCGCTAAACCCCCTTCGGCCACAGCTCGGGCGGCCCTGGCTTCCTGAGGCAGCAGCCACTCCGTCCCCAACTCGTCCGACTGACTTGAACTGGCCTTGACTGGCTTGAAACTCGGCTCTTCTTCCCCTTCCCTTCTCCTCTTTCTCATTCCTCCCTCCCACTACCTAATCACCACCACCACTACCACCACCACTACCACCACCATCACGACATCCTACCCTCTCCCACTTCATCCCACCAACGCTTCATCCTCTCTATCCTCGTCCTATCTTTTTAGATACCTTTCTTCCTTTGGCTGTCGTGATTTTTAACACTCTTTTATTCCCTTCCTCTCCTTCCGACTCGTCACTCTTTCCCGCTCTCTCTCACTCTCGCTCTCCTTCTTAACTCTCAATCTCCTCTACTCGGTAAACGGCTTCAGTCGACCCAGGTGACTGGCCGACTCCTCTGAGAGATTGATTGAAACAAACAGGTAGCCCGACAGGGCTGTTCAACGCCATGTCTGGGCGTCTATCATCCGACCACAACCGTTCCTTCTCGCAGTCCTCGCGACCCCCGTCTCAACAAGTCGATTCAATGC